CTCCCGCTCGGGCTGGTTTCCGAGGGCTCGCCGCGGCCGTCGGCCGCCCACCAAGCCCAGCCCTGGCTGGTCGGTGCTGTACATCCACCAGCGCAGGAGAGGTGTCAAATCTGCACTGGGAAAAGCCATTTGCCATGAAATACGTCATTATAGCCTAGCAATAACGAGCGCCGATTAGGCTAGCGCTCGACCCACCGGGGTTTTAGGCGGGGTTATTAGAGAAGATGCTGCCCCACGTCCATACGCCGCACTCTGCGGGAACACAGCCGGCGTCGGCCGCCGTGGCTCCCAGTTACGCATCTTTAGAGCACTTCTGAGGCCGCAGTGAATTAAAGTACCTGTGCTGCATTTGCAGGCAGGAACAGGAGGCGCAGAGAAGCTGTGGGTGCACAGTAAGCTCTTTATCAGACCCCAGTACGGTTAGCACCTCAAGCACGCCCCTGCATTTCTCTTCTCCTGCCGTACCCGTACAGTATTTCCCTTGTGCAATATTTTCCCCAATATACTGGAGAATAACTGCTTTGAAACTAGCACCTGTTTACTGATGAAAACCTCAGCTTTGAGCCTGTGGTCTTAAGTTTTGCGGAACTTTTACAATTTCAAGGGGGGGGTGGGGGGGTGGGAAGAGAAGCAAAAACTTCAGAAAAAAGCATTAATGAAACTATTTCTCCCCACCCCCCCCGGCTCTGAGACACTTGGGAGACCAAAGCAAACGCAGGAGCCCCCAGCATTTTCTAAGCAAAGCAATGCTTTGCCCCTTATTTCGAAACGCAACGTAACGCTGTTGAAGCATCATCGCTATCGGATACCACGACCTCACGCCGCTGTGTGACGCGGGGAGCAGGAGCAACGGGGTTATAGTCATCCGCACCAGGCTCCTGCTCCACACAAGAGGAGCTGGACGGGGTAAAGCGACCGCGGAGAGGGGGAAACGTTGGCCAAAATTAGGGCTAGCGAAGGGACCTGCGCAGAGGGAAGCAGGGATGCTCAGCCCGTGGTCCTGTGCTTGGGCTCTGCACTAGCCAGGAACGCGCGTCCTCAGCGTGGGCGCGCTTATCTCGCTTCTGCTTAGGGTGCTTTGTGGGCTTAGGGTGGTTTTGGTTTTTTTTTTTTTTTTAATTTTTACTTTTTTTGTCTTTAACT